GTTGAACCCGATGATCGAGCATGGATCTTATGGATCCTTGTAATGGCAGAGCGACTGGTGCGAGAAGAACGCTGACAATTCATTTTCGATTCTAACACCTGCGTGGAACTTTGTGTGTGCTTATGGTTCTTCTTGCCCGCTTTTCTCGGCGCAGACCGCCGCGCGTTTCACTAACTTGGAAAGTTCAAAGTTGATCTTGTCGTTGCTCTTGTAATCATCTTTTGTTGGAACACTTTTTCTGTTCGAAGAACATTTTGATGTTTGTATTAGAAGTGAGAGAAACCGATCATTGAAGATCTCGTTGCTCCTGTATTCGTCTTTCGTTAGAATAGTTTTGGTGAACATTTTGAAGCATGTTAATAGCAGTGAGAAGAATCAATCATTGAATATCTCGTCGTTGCTCTTGTATTCATCTTTTGTTAGAATTGTGAGAAATCTGTCGATAGAAATGTGTGAGATAATTAATGCAATAGAAATTAACTATAATTTTTTGAACGACGAAGTTATTTAATTATTAGAGTTATTTAATATTATATAAAATAATCTTGACAATATTCTTTCATCATATCTGCTTGATTATCTTTCATATGGAGCTTTAGTTAACGGAGACCAAAATGATTAAAAGCTTAGCCAATCTCCAAGATTTCTATGAACAAGCAAGGAGCAAGAAAGTTTAGTTAGCAATCTTTTTCTCAATTGAAATTCTATTCGAGATTGAACGAAAAGAAAGCAAAGTAAATGAAAGGATAACTGAGCAGCGAGAAGATTAGCGCCGTACCTGCAGCAACAGAGAAAGATTTTGCGGTATTTTTGTGTCACTAACGCTTACACTTTCTCGGTGTATTTTAGAAGCGTCTGATTATTCTAACGTTCGAGTCAATCGCTTTACAATCTCATAGGAGAGACACTGTTCCGATTACCGCGTTAACACGGAAAAATGATCGGACGGTGAAAATCCGGTGCATGCTCGTTTAAAAAGAATCCCGTCATCCGCGTGGAAAGAGGACCGCCTTTCATACAATACGGAGTCTTTCGTGTTTTATTTTCCCATCTGCATTCGCAAAGCGAGATCGATGCGCCTTCCGAGACAGAAGAGATAACGGAGATTCCGAGAACAGAACGCCAGTTAATCGCCGCTAACGAGACGTGTGTGCGTGTGCTTTGTGTTAATTGACTCTATAATATCGTCTGCTTGTGACAATTGCACGGCCATGAATGGAAACCGTTTAGAGAGAGAGATTCAAGTCTACGAAAAAAACAAAAAAAAAATACAGATCAATGCTCGCAGGGATAAATAGAGTATTGAAAGAGAAAGAAGTGCGACGATAGAGAAACAAGGATGACGAAAGAACAGACGTGTTAAGAGGAAAGGGGCAATCTATATTCATATATAAATATAAAACATCATCCATATTTATATTTATATACCTGCGTGTACGTATATATCGACGTGTATACACACGCAACGAGCAATCATTGACGTTGGAGACCTTACGGGATGCATATATCGTGTCCGAGATCATCGTTTTGCATGACGCTTCTAGCGTGTGAAATATGTGTGTTTCGCGTTACTTGTGTTGCCATGACGCAGCATGTGCCAAGCATGCTTCAATCTGTGTGCTGAACAGGTGTGTGACTCGCAACTTCGTGATTTTTTTTTTCTTGTTTATGTAATATTCGCAGATCTACAAAACAGATCGACCGATGATCGTAGTTAGCCCTGTGTTAGAGGCCGATGTCTTGAACGTAGAGAATCGTTTGTTCGTCGTCGTTTGTGTATCTTGACAATCGACCACGACGTAGTGAATCTTGCAATTTTTTTTTGTAGCTGATTAAAGAAAATGCAAACGACCGTACGCTTTACAGGGTCCACTGTATTGAACTGTTGCTCGCTGTCTTTAACTCTCAAATGATTCTCCGGTTGTTGCGCTTCGTGCTTCTCTCTTTTATTTCGTGTCGCCATCGATGTGACTGTGTTATAATATTAATTCCCCCCCCTTTACGCGCCTGGATCGAGCTCGATCAACAAGATCGCGCTGATTTTCGCGCCGTGACGACGTGTATGCTAAGTCTTAAGGGTAGCGCGATGCGAAAATAGATAGGTAATCGGTGCTTCAAGCGCTGTATACTTGTGTAGTCACTGGAAGAGTCTGTATGTTTACGTAGAGATTATGCGATACTTATTTAAGACGTTCGACATCTCACCGTTTTCATGACAAACGCGATGCAGAATTGTAGTTACATCGTAAATCCGCATCTACACCCCCGACAATTTTGTATTGTTAGACGTTCTCGCTGAGTAGGCTGATCGAACGATTAGTTGAAGCGAATCCTTGTTAATTAATCCGCACCACTGCATGAGCCCACTTCTCATTTATGTTTTGCACTGTAGTGTATATAGTTTTAAGGATAAATTTGTTTGTTGTTTTATTTTATTTTTTCTTTTACTCTTGTGTGTGTGTGTATGCAACATACAAAGTGTTCGTAAATATTTGTTCCTAGCCTTACCACCGATATACATAGGCTAGCGAAACCGATCGGATCGCTTGCGAGTTTCGATCGGTGATTATCGTTCTTTTGATCGCTTCTTTGCACCATTCGCCCATCTATTATTTACGTTTGTTCATTTTCACGCTTGCGTTCTTTTTCGTTGTTGTTTAATCTTCCGATGCTACTCTGCTGTCCCGTACCTCGTGCTCCCTCGTTCCATCGCTTTCCCTAAATTTTCCGGCAACCTTTGCACTTCAGTCGATTTTTCCTTTTTCGAGTTGTTTATTTCATGTTTTCACTCACTGTCCGGCGGCGTCGAGACCTGAATTTCTCCTAGTAAAACCAGATGCAGCAGAAAAGAAAAATTCAAACGTTGATCGTCAACATGTATTTGTTTATATTTTTGTTGTTGTTATTTTACGGTATTGTCTGGATATTGTCAACTGAATGATCATATTTTATATTTCATCGTTATTATCATTGCCTACAATGTTTAAGTAGTTTTTACAATTTTTAAGCAATATTGCTATATTGTTATAACTTAGCTAATTTATTAACTTGTTCGTTCTTGTTACGAATTGTGTTAAATCTAAGAAGACAAATATTTTGATAAAAATAGAAACTTAATGGTTATCTAAGATTTGATAAGGAAAGTTGTATTTTAATATAATAATATTTATTCTTCCTCTGAGTCGAATTTGAATAGAAAATTGTTTTGCTAAAAAAAGATTATCGAGGTAACATTTTTAGAGATTTCATGATCGTGGATGTTTTTCTTTAAATGGGATTGTATATTTGTATTATTGTTACAATAGCTAAGGTGAAAACGTATCCTTAACAAATGCTCAATATGACGAGCAAATTTTGTCTCTCATCAACAAATGTTTATATGTTAATAAGATTTTTTTAAGACAAGACAATTTTTGGGACAATTGAAGCCAGAAACAGTTATTCTACAATTTGAATTACTGTTTGTACATAATCTCTTTTTTCAGACTAGTTCACTAGCACAGTGCACACTTATTTTATT